TTCTGGGATCTCTTTGTCCTCACCTAGTGATTCCTAAGGTGCAAGTCCTAGTTCTACAGCCAAGAGGACTAAATACTAATTTCCAAGGATGAACTTACAGCTATTCTGCTGTGGTTTAACCCCAGCCAGCAAGTATGGCACAGCCACTTGCTCACACACATCTCCCACCTCCCAGTTGGGATGGGGGAAAAAAATCAGAAAAAAAGTGAAAAAACTCAAGGGTTGAGATCAAGAGAGTTTAATAAGTTGTGCAAAAGCTGCACTTGCATCAAAGCAAAACAAGGAATTCATTCACTACGAGCCATTCCCAGGAAAGCAGGGCTCCATCACACGTCATTTGGGAAGACAAACACCACCCCTCTGAATGTCCCCTCATCCCTGCTCAGCAGTACCTGAAACATCCCTGTGCTACCAGCACTGCTTTCAGCACAAATCCAAAACACAGCCCTGGAGCAGCTACTGTGAAGAAAACTAACTCTATCCCAACCAAAACCAGCACATATCCTCAGTTCCTACTTTCTGAATGCCTTTTGAAGAGTCTCCTGATGTCAGCAAGACCCAAGTTTTGGAACAGTGCAGAACATTGTTGTTCCTGCAGGCTAATGGTTTGTCGCTGCAAAGCAAGGCTCAAAAGGAGTTGCAAGGCTCAAAAGGAGTTGCAAGGCTCAAAATGAATTTCTGAGACTGGACTGCCTCTGGGTTTCATCTTTATGTAGGTGTGACTGCACTGCAGACAGACAGACATACACAGATCTGTGGCCACACGAAGCCGTGAGATTCAAGCCACAAAAGTGCAACAGCAAACACTGTGGTGCTTAAGCCTAGAAGGCAGAAAACAGACCCATCATCTTGCCAGAGAAAGCTGTGGATTTTCAAGAGAAGTCTCCCGTGGCTGCTCCTGTGTCTCCAGCTCCTGCCTGGTTGGTCCTCACCTACCAAGACCAGAATTCAGCTCCTAAAGTGAGATGTGTAGATCCAGGGTTTGGGTGAGTGTCCCCTGAATTTAACAGACCACAGACACCTCCAGCTCCTTAGAGAGCCAAAGGTAAGTGAGGTGCAGGTGTCCACTCTAGGAAGGAAGGCAGAACTGGGACAGCCAGATGAGACAGTCCAGCATTTCCATCTGTTGTTGCATCTCCCAATTCTGCTGTTTCCCTCCTTCCCTCACCCTTTAGTGACCCTCAGCCTATTATTTTGTACATCTGATCTGCTCATTAAAATGTAACAAGTGTTTTGGCAGCTGTCTGTGTGTTCATAAAAAAGAACTTGGCTGTCACAAATTGCTTCTGCCGGTCTTGGATCACCTGTGGGAAGCACTTGTGACCAGCCCTGCAGCTGGAGCCAGCTGGTGCAGGAGGGTCCTGTGGTTTTCACCTTACCTGTGCACAGGGTTGCAGGAAGGCATTCCTAGTGCTAAGGTTTGGCTGTGAAAAGCAGACAGGGAATACTGAGAAGGATTATTTATTCTCAGCTTCATCTGCTTGTCAAACAACTGACTGTAAGTATGTGATCTTTCAGTAGGGTAGATATGATATAAGCAAGGATAAGGAACAATTTCCTGCCTTGCACTGGAATTTTGAGAGACTGAAAGGCCTGCAGGAAGATCATGTCAAGGAAACAAGGAACTTGCCTGTGATACAAATGCCACTTATAAATATCCACAGTCTGGAAACGGCCACTTTAACAATAGAGTGTCTTTTCTTGGGAAACAGTGTCAAAAAAAGACAACAAATACTGATGCTCTGAACAATATGTTTTATCTGCACAACTAGAGACTCCAAGAGAGTGGACTTAATGGCAGTGTGCACCAACATTTCAAACACAGACACCAAGGTTTATATTCCAGCACCGTTCAAATGTGAAAGCAGGGCTGAATTTAAAGGCTTCTGTCTTGTGTCAGTGCTGCAAAGTGCCTGACACCTAAGGCTCCTCAAGCACTGGGAGGGTTCCTGAGACAGCTACTCTCCCTCTGCCTGTCAGTGCTGTGCCCTTCTTCAGACAGCTCTGGGGTTACACTTTGTGCTTACAGGCAGCAGGTTCCCTGGGGCTGGGTGATTGGTGTGCAGCCACCCTTGCATGCAGCCACTCTCACAGGGCCCCAGCACACCCAGCCCCACTAACTGGGCTGTGGGTGAGGCCCCACTAGAAGGCCTTGTGACCCAGACTGATTCCAGTGACTGCAGGGAGGTGATTGCTGTCTTTGGATCCAATTGGCCTTTGCTTTCTGTTTACAGTATGCAAGGGGCTCCACAGGCTGTTTGTTACTGCCACTTATCCATATGTTTGCTAAAATGTTTTTGAAGAAATGCAGTATCAGCATCTACTCTGACCCTTGACACTGCTCACATCAGAACCTTATTTTCTGTTTTATTACAGCCTCTTTTTCGGAGCTAAACACACCAGGAAGAGGGAGTGAGGGTGGTTAGGCAAATCATTACAAATCTGCAAGTGAAAACTCCAGTTTTCACTCTTCAGTGCTCTCTGAAGAGAATGCCTCCTCTCCTCCATTTGCCTTAGACTTGTCCTGTACACTTCCCACTGTCACATTAGTCTGTGCATTGCTACTGCCTTGGCAGCAGGAGACAGTGTGAGTTAAAGATTGATAAACCCACACCACAGAATTCACCCTGACCTTTCACAATGGGGACCCAAATCTGCTACTTCCCGTGAGTTCCCCCAGCCTATAAAAACCCTGCTCTGTCCCTGCCTTGGCCTGGTGCTGAGATGAAGACTAATTGCTATTAACCTCAAATTTCTTAAGCCTAGAATAAAATAGCAAGCCCTAAGAAGTTTGTGCAGAACACAGGCAGACAACTGTGTCAGGGAGCTTTTTTCTCTTTTTTAGGGCTTATATTTTAGAAGCAAAGAGCTTTCTATCCAGCTAGCCTTGAAAGCAAAAGCACTGCCTGGAATTCCTCCCACAGATGTGAAGCCAAATTATGGCTTCTGCCGTAGCAGAAACTGGGGAGGGAGAGGTGCACATGATGAAAATGCAAAAAAGATCCAAGGGGGATTCTGAGAATCAGAGCATACTTCGTCATGGGGAACTTTTCAAGAACACTGGCAGAAGAGATGAAGGAAGGAGATAAGAAGACACAGTTTGGAAGACAGGTCAGTCCATACCCTCCTACATGGCACGGCCTCTTTGTAGAGGAGGCAACTCCCAGCTGTTGGTACCAGCCCCAGCAGCTTGGCAGACAGGCTGCCAGTTCTGTGAAGGTTGATGACAAAAATCAGGTATTCTACAGAAACATACAAAATTGTGTTTCCAAACTTCCATTAGGGAAGGTTAGGGAAGGTCCTGCAGGCAGCAACAACTGTGTGCTGAGAGCTCACATGGTTCAACACACTCAGCAGGCCTCTCTGTACAAACACAGGAGACAATGACCCTCTCTTTTGGACAATGGCACTTGAAAAGTCTTGTTAAAATAATTTTCTCAGTAGCTGATACCCTCTTCCTCTTAATTACATCTAGCTGAACCAAAACAAGCAGAATTACAATCTAGGTTTACAAAATGCCAGAGAGGAAGTGAACTCAACCACAGCTGCTTTCTGAAAGGCTACAAGACATTAACTATTTGCTGCTGCTCCCTGCAGCCTCCCTCCACCTGGAGTGGGAGGACAGGGCTAGGGATGAACTGCAGCCATAGACCAGGATTGTGCTTTACCTGGGATCCAGGCAAAAGTGAGCCCAGTCAACTCCCCTTTCCCTTCATTAACCTCATAAATGATGGTAGGAAAAAATAAGCAAGTCTAATAACATTGAGCAAGTAGTTGGTAAGTGAAGATGCTGAAAATCAAGTTTGACCAATCAATACTAATACATGCTACAAAGCTGTTACTGAGATGTAGTAAGCAGTTAACAATTATAAAAAACAGTGTACTCAGCTAAAACCAATAGTTCTTCAATGCCACCTGCTGCTCCTCAGCTATCCGTGGTGCACTCTGTTTAACAGTTTATTCCTCAGTCCTTCAGAAAAGGACATTAACTTTTACCCTGTGCTCCTCTTTACCCCTCTCCATGTCCTGAACATAACATTAGATTCTGTGGCTGTTTCTGCATGAATTTTCACTCCTCCCTGCTTCATGTCTTCTCCTGGTTCCAAGAGCTTTCAGCTTAAAAAAAATCCCTCCTTCACCTGGAGCTAGAGAGTTCTGAGTTACAATTCCTTCTTCCAGGATTATTTATTCACTTATTTTTACACAGCATATGAAATGAGAAAAGTTTAAATAGACTGAGGAGCAAACATGGAAATTAACTGTGTATATCATCAGGAAATTTTACTTTAACTGCAAGTTACTGTACTTCATTTTTATTATCCCTTTCTTTTATAAGATAGAAATGATTTAAAGACATTTCAGAACAACCACTTTGGAATACTATTATTTTTAACATAGAGTAACTACTGTCTATTCCATTAGCAAACTGTTGTTTTCCTATGGACTACTAAAGACTTCTACATCCACAGATAACAAAAAGAAAAGAGAAAAGAGAACCCACCTTTTCATAAAGAAAAATATTGAGTTCTAATTTCAGGGATTTTAATATATACCCTTTCTTGGACAGTTTTCATGGGAAGTGTCCATGGTCCCTCTGAGTTATTACCAGTCCCACACAGAGCCTCACTTCTCTTCCTCTCCCTCCAGTCCTCACAGTGGGCCATTATGCTACACCAGGCTGATCCAAACCTGGGAGCTGAGGGAGACACTCAAATAGGCTAGAAAGACTCTGCTGTGGTATGGCCCATAAGAGGACAGCTTTTTAAAGCATTTGTGTCTCTGCTAAAGGGTTTGTGAAGTTCCAGGTTTAAATTCCCTCTCTAAGTGCTGGAGTCTGCCCTCTGAGCACCTCACTAAAACTGAGGTAATGAGGGATATGATCAGTTTTCTGAGGGTGTTGTGACCTAGAGGCAGGTCTGATTACATCATTTGTTTTGGGTTGAGTCTCAGGAGCTTTATAAAAAGCAGTCCTAAAAGCAAGAAGAGTGAAAAGGGGAGAGGAGGGCAATAACTCATTAGCAGAAGCTCTGTATGTGTGCATTCTGCTACTTGCCACATGTCTACAGGGGAATTTCTTCAGAGTGCAGAGAAGCCTGTGAACTGCTGGAATATTATAAGTCTTTCCTTGAGATGTCAGCCAAGAGCTTCAGTGCAGTCACAGTGGCTACTGTGCTGACTTTCTTCCTAAAGATACAACTCTCAGTGCAAGCGCCGGTGAACGGTAAAGTCTTTCAGCTTTCTGTTTTATTGTAACTTAGGGCAGCTCTGTGTGTGCAGAAAACTGGCCTCTTTTAATTAGTGCTACTTTAATACCATGCTCGAAGTTGATTGTATATTGTTGCAGTCTGTGGTTGTTTGGAGTCAGTATCCTTATTTCAGTTTCTCAGTACAGGTATTCTGGCATGTACAGGAAAGAGAAATTTGTCCTCTGGTTTAGCTTGCATTATAGAGTTCTTTCATGCTCAGTATGCCTTGCTTTGACATCCTTTTGTTTCTCATAGAACGAAGCAGAAACTCAGAGTTAGTGGAGGCATCACAGCTTTCCCTTTGCCCTGTTTATTTTTAAACTGGAGGGGGGAAAAGGCAATCCCTGTGAAGCATCCCATACACTAGACCTCTTTCTCTTATATTTAAATAGGATTAGTTCTTTTTAGGAGTGAATGTTCATATATTCAAGCTGATTACAATCAATTTTCCCCCTTTCAAGCTAATTATCATCCACCCAGTGTTGTTATAGGATACCAGGGAGAATCATTATAAAGGGGTGTGTGAGAGGACTTGCTCAGCACATATATTCATGGGACCAAAATCCTGAAGGTTCAAACGTGATCCAGAGCTGTTGGCTCCATGCAGAGCTCTGCCAAGACAAGCATTTTACCATTTTTCATATGAGCAGAATAAGATGTGGAATTAAAACTTTTATCATCTTTTGTTGTTCATATATCCTCTGAAAAATGCCAATATTCTCCAGCAGAATCTCCCACCTGAAGGGCAGAAGTGCTTTCCAGAATAAGAGAATAAACTCGATGCTTTCTGGGTGTTTTCTGTGACCACACGGAAGATTTGGAATTGAAAGGATGTGTTGAAAAGATATCTTACCTTGCATCCTGAAGGGAATGCTGGAGAGCTCCTATCTTAGAATTAGTACCAAGGAATGGCAAGAGCTACAGTATCTGCCTATCTCTGACATCTTCCCAAGTAGATTATCACAACTACACCCATTCCCACTTTCCCAGTTCCCAAGTGACATTGGTAAGGTATTTTTTCCCTGTCTGTTGAATCAAGGGCAGATTCTCTGGCTCCAGGAACCCCCTCTGCCATGCATGGGCATTAACTGTGCTACTCACCAACACTCATCCCAGCATCAACAAAGAGGCAGGAGAGTGCTCACAGAGCTGTTCACTGGTCCCCTCTAGATGTTAAGCCTCTGATTTTGGGAGGCAGTGTGACAATCTGCCTCCTCCTCATTTCATTATCAGCCAGAGTAAGGATCATAACCTTGCTCATAGCCTGAGGTTGGCAGCTCTGTATGATCATTCAGACAAGATCAAGAAGATCCTGCCATCTGGTCACCTCTTCATCTCCTGACCTAAGCTGGATGAAAGGAGTATAAATGTGCCTCAGCTGCTGTGATTGTGCTCACCAGTAAAGTCATGATGGTAGTGAACTGCAGGTCATCAAAATGCTCACAGGCTAAGGAATATTTCACTTGGCAAAAGACTTGAAGCTTTCATATATTTTTGTGTCAAGTGGTGTAACTGGCCGTAATATTGAAAATATTTGAAATATTTGGTTGTTTTAAGGTTATTCTAGATTATGAAAATCATAGTTTTGACATTCCATACACATTTCAGTGGTCAGTAAGAGCATGAACAGAGTAGCTATTGTAGTTAAGCCAATATTTCTTCAAACCCTGCTTCAAACCCTGAGGATATTTCTAAAATCTGCTGCCAGTCAGTTGGTGACTTTATACAAGTTTTACCTGCAGAATGTTCTGAGCAGAAGACACAAGGAACCCCCAAAAGACCTCACTAAGAGATAATCCCCTCCAGAGTGAAGGCGAGAGGAAAATGAGGTTTCCCATCTTGAAATCAAAGACAGGGCATGAATTCTTCTACAGGAAGAACCTGAGGTCTTCAGCCAGGATGATTACACAGCTTCGAAAATTCCAGTGTAAAAGAACAAGGCACTCTGGTCCTAACAAACTGAAAGCAGAGAGTTCAGTGTTCCAGGCTGACACAAAATATCAATACAAAAGAGCCAAGTGCAGCTGTTTCTCGCTCCCCTCCAAATTAATCCCAAACATTTCACACAACATTCCTTGGAGGAGAGCTGTATCTGTGACCGCATTTCAGAGCACAAGAAATGCAGCCAAGAGCCATGTATTGTGCCTGTGAGGGTAAATATCTGCCTGCCTGCATGCACACACTCACAGGCACACTGGGTGCTTGCAAGACTTGTGATTCAGGACTGCTTTCTAAGCAGAAGCAACATTAAATTTGCAAAGAATGAAGATCTGCATGAGCCTGATAACCAGAACTGTTCAGGTCTGCCAGGACAAGCACCTCTAATTACACAGCAAGCTGTATGATTGCAGGTTTCAGGACTAGGAATAAAATAATTAAAAAGAGCATTTAATAAGTCAAGACATTTCCAAAGACATGTAGAGACACTATCCCAAGTTCAGTTCCTTAAGCAGTGGGTGAGTATTGATCATTTTAACACTCATTCACCCTCCCAGGATTCTCTGAGCTCCATGGGTTCATGTATCTTCAAAGTCTATCTATTAATCCCTGTTTCAGTTGGCAAATCCCAGAGCTGTACAGAAATGACTGTCCATCATTTCCCAGTGTAGCAACTGGCAATTCACTGATGTTTTTCAAGCTCCTCAACTAGGCATGAAGGGGTTCATTGTAGCTACACCCCATTTAAATTCCTTACCTTCCTAGCCAGGAGAAAATCAGGGATGTACCTACATACAAAGTCTGTGGATATTCCACCAAAGAGAAAAAAGATAGACTGACAACAGTTTATGGGCAGGATCACAGGGATAATTATGATTAGAATTTGGGCGAGAAAGGTTCCTAATCTTTGGAAGTGTCTATGGTTTGCTCAACAGCTGGGGCTGGAAAAATAGATGAAAGTATTGCACAGTGCAGTACATGGGTTTAAGTAGCAATTTGTTTCTTTACAGAGTAAGATCAATTTCAAATATTCATAGTAATGTTTTCTTTGTCTTTGAACAGGGTCAAAGTGGTCTTATATTGGTAAGTACTAATTTGTATAATTCATACATACTTCTGTGTTTTAAGGATAACATGCCAAATGTATTCTGGTGGGTATTTACTGGGTTCACTACCTTTACTCAGGTTTGGATCTGGTCGGTTGTCTTGAAATCTGTTCTTCAGTCCATCAGGTTTCACATCTGGGTGATTGAGAGCCAGTTATTGAGTTCTAAATTGCCTTGTGGAGTGACAGGAACTTCAGCAGACTGAGGTTGGCCCTACAACTGCAGAGGTTCCCCAAAGCCCTGTTTCCTCCCCAGTCACAGGCCAGCAGCACATTTGAACCTAGTTCTGCAGAGAGCATTCCTCTCCATACCCACATGGCTCTTCATTTTTGAGTCAGAGTTCACAAATCACCTGTATCATGTTACTGAAGACTTGGGTCCCCAAAAATCCCAGCAGTGACAAAGCAGAATAAATCATATTCAGGAAAGCAATGTTAATTTGTAACTAATTGAACTGATTGGTAACTAGTCCTTTTTGTGAGCTACTGACCCAGAAGGACCTGGTGGCTGCTCAGAAGGAAGATTTATCTAGATGTTTTCTTTTAATTGGTCAAATCCTCTAGCCAGGTATTTCCTCACTCAGAGTAGCATTTTATATGCCACATGTCCCCAGAGAAGTAGCAGTACTGGGAATCTCACCAAAAAATGCTTGTTCTTAAGCTTTTGGTGCTGTTCCAAGGCAGAACCTCCGAGGCTGAAGCTGCCTCTCAGAACTCCTCCCTCCCTTTGGCTGAGCTCCACTTTACCTGACTGGCTTCACGTAAGCAGAGGGAGAACTGTCAGCTGTGTGTGCATAGGTACTGCCTGACTGCCCTGCACACACAGACACTTCCCACTCTCATCAGGGAAAGAGTCTGACACAGTTTCATTGACAAAAGCCTGGGTTTTCTACCTTGACAGCAGCCATCAGACAAACCTAACCCTGCTGGGTAGTAAGGAAAACAAGACTACTTTTGCTCTTTTACCATCAAAGTAGAAGTTTTGCCTTCCATCCCAGAGCAGTGCTTGTTTCAATTAGTTACTTCTCCCTTTCTGGGAATTTGAGGGCCAGTGTTTATTTCCAAGTGTGTTGTTCTCAGTGCCCAACTTCATCAATTCCTGTTAAGCTCTTCCATACTGCAGTCTGATTTCTATATTCTAACGTGTGCTGGAGGATAGAGGGAAGGTTCACAAAACAGATTATCTTTTTCCTTCAACTACTGATTTCAAAATATATCTAGAAAAACATATAAAAGAAAATATATAAAAGCAACTTCAAAAAATTAAAGTTGCAACTGAACTTGTACAGGGTAGTACAGAAAAGCAGAAGTGGAACACTGATCTGCACAGAGAAAACCAGGTATTAGAGAGACTGCACTAAGCCAGAGAAGAGCCTCTCCATACTCTTCTACTGATCTGGTTCCTTATGGCAGCCTAAACCTCCCACCATTTATCTTCATCCCTGAAGCACTTTGCAGTGCCTTTCACTACAGATAAGTCAATAGGAAGGGAAAGGAAATCAAGCAATTATAATGACAGTGCAGACTGATGTCAAGATGAGGGTCAAGGTGTAAGATAAGGGTGGAGTAGGAGTAGATTTGTTGAGCAGGAGAATATGTAAAGCTGATTGTGGATACAGTGTTAGCAGCTCAGGGCACAGTGGCAAAGCAAGATGACACAGCATGTGACCAGGCCTTATCTGTTCAGCACAAGCTTTCCAAAGAAATGAGCATTTGTCTTGGCTATAATGGAAACTACTACATGAGATACAGTAAATAAAAAGGCTAAACCTCTTCTCTGCTTCTTCCTTAGCCAAGCTGCAGTAATGCTATTTCTTCCTGTTTTCACTCCTCTTGTATGTATCCCAAAAAAAAGTGGCTGAAGTAAACACCACAGAACAGTGAGCTGAGGCACGAGCCCTCAGCCCTCGTGGGGTTGGCTCTGTGTTCACTCAGGTTGGCTCTGTGTTCACTCATGGGCTGCTTCACCTTCTGTAAAATGGACAAAAGACATCAAGCACATTGTAAGAAAAGTGTTTTCAGTTAAAGAACTGAAGGAATTGTTCTGATGCCCCATAGCTCAGGACAGCATGTGCACACAGCTGCTGGCAATGTTGCTGTGTGGCTGGAAGGTGCAGGCCAGAAGTCCTCTGACCCAGAAGAAAATTGCTAAAAGTGGATGCTGGGCTTCAATTCTTTGGATTCTGGCTTTCTGTTTCTGTAATGTAGGTGGGTCAGAAGGAAATCAGAGAACCAGAGTCATCCCTTCAGAGTGGACAAGCAGCTACAATGCAGAAAACCAGCTTTATAGACAAGTTCAAAGTAATAGTGCCAACAATTACTAACCTGCTTTAGCAGTAATAGTGCCAACAGAATTATAAATGTGCTTTAGCATGTGAGGAGACAACCTCATGCTGCAATATAGACACAAGAACTGTTGTTAACAGACAGCAGGCTAATTGTACTTGCACACTCTTTCATTCTTCTCTTGCCAAATACTCCAATTCAGTGGGGTGCTGAGAGCCTGTGCTAAAACCCCTCCAGTTCCCCTTAGGAAATGCCAGCTTTGGTGAACACACTAAAACACACCCCAGATTTCTCATCCAGCACTTGAATGCAGTAGCAGGGACAGCTACAGCTCTTGGCAATTCCTCTACCTCACAGGCTTCCCTCTGGGTATCCACACCCTGGCTCAGCGTGCCCAGAATGTGGGACTGAGCTCTGCCTGAGCTCTGAGTGCAATGGAAACCATGTGATTCCTCCCCCCAACACGAATATTAATTGGTCATCAGAGCAAAAGTCTGCTGGTAACACTGGTGTCTCACAGGCCTATTTTCTCCTTGTTTTAAATGAGGCCACGTGCACATCCTGGGAGCAGAGCCCACTGGGGTGCTGTGGGGCTGGCTGCAAAGCTAGAGCTGTCAGAGGAGATGATACAGTGGGCACAGGCAGCCCTGTGCTGAGGGTGGTTTGCTCAGCTCACTGGGCAGCCTGACTGTCCAGGGAATTATTGCTGCTTTATTTACAGACAGCTTTTATAAAACAGCCACGAGGGCACAGCCAGGCTCAGGGCTGTTTACAGTGTGGCAGGGGAACATGGTCCTGGAAAATCAAATAGAAGAAGGCAACCCACAAGCTGGATTTGAGCAGCCTGAGTCTGCACTCCCTACACCAGGGAACGTTCCTGGCAGCACTGGGAGCAGTGGTAGCACGAGGGTCCTACTTCCACTCACACCAACAGCTCCCTGCCTTCATTTGCTCCCTCCAACAGCTGAAAAACAGTGCTGAGTGGGTAGAACAGGCCCATGGCACAGTTATTGCTCTGCTGACAGTGCTGATGGGATCCTCAGAGCACCAAACACCTTCTGAAGTGCCTGAGTCTTTCACAAAAGAAGAAAATTAATTATGAAGATAATTTTGCAATACTTCTTACGTTAATACCTTTTGGGACTTGTAACACAGGCCAATGTTAATACATCCACATGCTGTTCTTTATTCAATAGTGATCAGACAAAGCCTTTGTAAACACAATGTGATTTCCAGTGAGTTTATCTGAATGTGCTGGCACAGAAAAAGGAAAATCTGGTTCACAATCAATCATTCATTTTCAACAGACCTAGCTGAGAAATACCTTCCAGCTGTGTGGTTTATCTACCATGGAAATCTCAATTTCACATATGCAGACCCAAGCTGCAGTGAGCTCAGCTCTTTGAGACAAGAGTTTTGAGGCACTGAAATTAGAAAGACTACGTGACAAAATGCAGAATTTCTATAAAAACAGGTTTTGTACCAAAAAAGGTTTTTTGTTTGGTTTTGTTGGGTTTTTCTTAATTGAGCAGGAGTGAGAAACAAGCAAAAACTGCTGTAGCTTAAAGGCCTGTGAGTGAGTTGCAGAGTTATGCCAAGGAAAGGATAACTGCTAGTAAAGATCAAAGTACATAAAGACTATGATAACTACAGCATTTTATAGAAAACACAAAAGTTTTCCTTCTGAACTGGTGATGTGGGTGTGGAAGTTCCCATCTTCTGCTGCCAACTCTTTAGGGTATTCAGTTTATCCAAACATAGTACTGAAAAAATGATTTGTACTTCATGACATGGTTTTCACTAGCTGGGACTAGACTTGTGTTTTATACATCAATTACCTATTTAATTATCAAGTCTCCAAACCTGTGATATGTAGTATATTAAAGTCTTCTTGCAAACTCACTGCCTTAAAAAACCTTTTTTAAATGATTGAGTCTTCTTACAATAAGGGCTTCTCACCAGTTTTTCTGACACTGTTGGAGTCTTAGCTCCCTGAAAAACGTTAAATATCAGTGTCATTGTCTTGCACATCAAGTTTCAACCTAAGAAACTATCATTTCCTGGGATATCCTGATGTATATTTTCCTGGGAAATATTCTTGAGTATATATGGAATTTATGCTCTTGTGGATGTATTTGTTATTTGCCAAAAAATAGGTAGAGGATAGTATGCAGTCTTCTATAATGTCAGCATAACATTTATTAGCTTTTTTAAGGAATTTCAGTAACTTTAGGATCTAAGAGGAGAGAAATTATTGTGATTGTCAGCAAACTGGAGTCAAAGATTTAAGCTGCAGCAACATCAAGGCCTATTCATACTGAAAAGCACTGACTGAGTCTGAGTATCCACACTGTAAACAATGTCATGTGTTAACCTGTGTCTTGAATAACTTTAAACAGCTTTGACAATGAAGTAAGTCTGTCTTTAAGTACCAGAATTGCACTTGCCTCTGTCACACACACTGTTTAAGTCAGGTTCACCTCCACTATCCATATACTTGGCAACTGCCTTGCATGTAAATAAAGTGAGCCTCTAATAATATCCTCCTGGCTGCTAATTTCCTTCAGAAAAGATCTGAACTTGCTTTGCCACTGATGACCTGATCTTCAAAGAAGCCAAAAGGAATATTATAGGTTTGGAAAAGAAACCTTCTAACCAAAGGCTCAAGGGATTTATTTTAAGAGAAGTAAGAAACTATATCCTCTGTGTTATAAGTACGTCAGTGAGGAACAAAAGCATGGTGACAACAGGCTCACAGTGAAAATCAAGCTGCTGAGGAGAGCACTAATGAAGTATCTTTTACCTGAAAAGCTTAAAAGAAGAGTAGATGTTTATTCCCTTCTGAAAGATGTGGCCTCATTGAAGCAGGGAGGCTCAGTGTCCTGTGTTATCCAGACTAGGCTGGTGATCCCAAAAGACCTTCCTGCCTTGGAAAGAATCATGACTAATGTTCAGAGACAAGGAGGAACACAAGTTGCAAGTATTTCTTTTGGTATTTAAATCCAAATAGTCTCAGTTTACAGCTTGTGAACAGCTGCTGGCTATTAATGTGTAATTAAATCAAAGGCACAATTAAAATTCTCTTGATATTATCTATTCTTTGTAGATCCTACCTCGGGCAAAAGACTGTGATGAAGAAAAGTTTCATCAGAGTTTGAGCAAGTTATTGCAGGTCAAATTATCATAGCACCTTCCATTTTTGCAAGTTAGCTTTTCAGTGTGGGTTATGCAGTCTTGCTGGATAGAGCCAGACAGTTTGTACAGTGAGGGAAAGTCTGTGAGGGGCTGGCTTTCTGTGCACTGAACTCTGTCAACATGAAGTCACTTCTTTCAGCAATCCTCTTCAGAAGGCTGGAATAGCTGCCTTTCTGGGCTTGTGCCTGCTACTTCCATAGGGAAAAGTGATTCATGTCAGTAAATAATCCAAATACTGTCAACAGATCCAAACGTTCATGGGCCCTGTAGAGACAATGCCATCAGGGAGGCTCAGGGGCACTGTGGCTGCCCATGGTGCTGCTCCTGCAGGTTTAACCCTGTGAGCTGCCAGCCCTGCAGCTCCCCAAGAGTGTAACATCAGCAGTAGCTGAGACTGTCAAAAAATTGAGGGGCAGTGAAAGCAGTGAAGTGTCTCAATGTGAGATTTTTTTTTTTTTGGCATTTGGCCCTTTTCTATCCAGTGGCACAATTTTCCAATTTTCTATCCAATGGAAAGATAAAATTGAGATTTAAAAAAAAAAAACTGCCTGAAAATTCAGAAAAGGCTTCCTTTCCAAATTTGGTGTTAAGGCTTGACAAATGCGTCTCTGTTGATTTGCACAGGTCCTGATGGAGAGAAGGCCTGGCCAAAGAAATACCCATTTTGTGGAGGAGTGTTCCAATCTCCAATTGACTTCCACAAGGATATTCTCCAGTATGATTCCAATCTCCTGCCTTTAGAATTCATAGGGTACAACGTGTCCTCCACTGACCATTTTACACTGACCAATAATGGTCATTCAGGTAAGGGAGCTCAGTGACAGCAGGAGTTGGGAGTTGCAGGAACTCGTGGGTTTTTTTGCTTCATGGGTGAACTACTTTGGTTATCAGATGAAAATAAGCTGTGATGATAAAGCCTTCACATCTACAGCACAGGCTAGGGAAACCTGGGAATGTACTAAGGACAAATGCATGCCCAGTAAGCTGAGTTTTGAATAAGGAGTTTTAAAATAAACTCTAGGCATGTCAGAGTTAATTCCTGAGCTTTTCTTACTACTTTGGTTGTGGTGCTCTGAAACAGCAACAGACTTTGTGATTCTGCTGAAAAGAGATAAATTGATAAAATATGAGTGTAATGGGTCTCTGACATCCTGGGCTATCAAAGCAGCTCAACTGAATTACATGGGCAGGGAGGGAAGGGAAAAAAAAGAGCTAGGAGCACCATTCTGTTCCTTTGATTTCAGACAGAAACCTCTCTAGCATAAGACCAGTAAGAAGACAGAATAATAATTAGAAATAGCATACAAGCATGCCCTCCCCACTGCAGCACTTAAACAAAATGTCACTACAGTAGGTAAAGGCAGAAAAGATGCAGTCTTATAAAGATCTATTATATTGATAGAATATATAATACCAGTTAGTTCCACCATTTTTCATTCCTTCCTGAAACATTTGAAGACATAGGAATAAGAACAGTTATAAAGCCCTTCTTCTTTGTATCCTTTTCTATTTTATAAGCATCAAAATAACCTGTGTTATAAAATGGCCTCTGCTCTGCTCTGGCATGTTTGACCAACATGCAAAAGTCTCTTTTTCTCTCATTCTTTCAGTGAGGTAAACCTGCTCTGTTGAACATCATAAGCCCCTTCTTCTCTTAGGACATGATTCCTGGTTTTCCTCTTAATCAATTCCTCCATCAAAATCAGGTTCCTTTAAACTAGGAATGGCTGGAACACCTTTTCCCTGTGAGCCTTCTTTTCCTAAAAGTCCTTCTTGGTCCCTTCTTGGTCACAGTTGAATGCTTTGGGCTGATGTGAGTGACAGGCAGAGAAGGAAACATTGTCATCGTGGGCTTTAATGGTGCCAGGAGGCAAAAGAACATCACAGGGAGTCTGTCCCTCACACAATAGTCACTCAGGTACAGGCAAATTCCTTGTAGAGCCTTTGTCACCTGTCATTGTCACATCTCACCCCTAAAACAGAGTTTGACTACTTCCTAATGAAAGCCAAGACAAAAACGTGTTGCCCCTCAATAAAAATGGGAATTCACTTCTAAGGTCAGTGCCCTCCTAGAAAGCAGGGGAGATGCAACGTACTCCAGAAACCTCACTTAGGTACAAACTGATTGCTCTGAGTAATAAAAAATTAGACTCTGTTGGAGTGATCATTACTCAATCTGCTGCTGCCTTCTCTTTCAGCCAGAGAGGAAACCAGTAGGACGCTTAGTATTGTCTGTCAGTCATTCCTACATATAATTATTGTGCTTCACCAGCCAGCTCATCCAGATACAATCACCTACTTCAGCCAGATCAAAAACAGCAGAGCTCAGAACAAGCTTTTTAGGACCGTAGGCTTGCAGCTGTTCCTTCACTAAGGTTTTGAGCCCTGTTTACCCTGAAAAACATGTCTGGCACACTCCAGAAACAAATTATATTCACACCAGAAAGTAATAAAGAAATCAATCTGTTCTTGACATAAACTGTTGCTTTATGGAGTACCAAAAGTCTCAAGTGAACAACTGAGAACTTTCTCCTGAGTTAAGAATTCCTACACCAAAAAAAACCCAAACCCGGCTTGTCATCCCCACTGGAGAGTATTAGTGAGCAGAAGGGAGGGTAATGCATGCCAAGATCTCCATCCAGTCAAGAGAGGAAATGCTAGTTCTTAAGGCCTGGGGTTATCTTGCTGCTTGACATCAATGTTCTGGGTTTTGGAAGCAATGAGGAGAGGGAGAAGTTTATTTGGTTTTACCATGTGCTCCTAAAAAAAGATTAAGAAGCAGAGGAGTTCAATGTAACAGGAGATAAAAAATACCCTGATAAGTCTTAATTTACTAAGACATTTTCAATCATTATGAGGGGATTGAAAGAAGGCACACGAACCTAAGTTTTGCTGCAACATATCACTAATTGTCTCTTCAGTAAGTCTGAGATAAATTTGCGTTCTTCAGGGAGAAGAAAGATTTCCATTAGCAACAATTCTCACACTCAATTCCTTCATTTAAGAAAGCAGAAAAAGGATATGTTCTAAATTCTCCTGATTGACCTAGAAAGGGCTAAAGAGCACTGAAGTGTTTATCTCCCCCCCAGACTGAGATGGGTCTGAGTTAAGAACCTGCTTTGTTCATGCTCCCTACATAAGATACTTAGAGTATTTTTATTTGCCCTGTTCTTGAGAGCTGTGGTATCATCTGCTCCCATCTGGGTTTGGTCTGCTTGCAGTGAAAATGTACCTGTCACCTACCATGTCCATCAGGAACCTCCCTTTTGAATACACTGCATCTCAACTCCACCTGCACTGGGGGAACCGCAACAAGTCCGAAGGCTCGGAGCACACCGTGGGTGGGAAGCATTTTGCAGCAGAGGTAAGACAAGCTCAGGCCAGGGAAAGAGCAAAGAAGGGTGGGCAGGTCCCACTGCTTCCAAGTGGGATCTGTGTCCTGGGGATAAGGCTGTAAAAGGCTGCTAAGATTTGGGTGTATACTAAAAAACAGATTGGGCAAAAAAAGGTGGACTCTGATGTACTGTCACTAAGTCAGGGAGTTAGAACTTGGGCTCCAAACTCAGAGCTGGAACAAGGTCACTTGAGTCATTTCAAGATATTTGATACCTTGGTTCTTCTCTGTAAACCAGGTATATCTTTTAGCTGCATGGCACTGCTGCTCTATTTACCTTTGCTCACCTTCTATCCAGCGAAGAACTATTTGCTACCTTTTCTAATCTTAAATGATGGATTTGGGAATAGATTTTGATAGGAAGTGCCAATCAGATATTTACCTCAAAATTATTAAAGTCAGTCAGAATAATTTGTTTGCATAACAGCACTTTAGGAATCCATTTCTTCTCTATTTAACACTGAGTTTTGTGTTCTAAATATTGAAGGGTTAAGGTGGGATTTTTTCCAGAAAAATTTACTAGTACTACAGTCAAGATGCTTTGAAGCTGAAGTCACTGATCCTCTTCCCCCCTTCATTATGAGGGTTGTGGGGTGTGTGTAACTTGGCTACAGCAGGGCTGGAGGTGGGACTCCCAGGACCTTTTGATTTCTCTAAAAGGATCTTACCCCCAGAAATCACTAAAGGACCCCCTTGTATTGTCTTATCCTGAGGTGGCTGAGTTGGTCCTTTTTAGCTGTGAAACAGAAATGTGAGCACGACCCACACGTTACTCTAACAAAGTATCCCCTTCTTTGTAGCTGCATATTGTGCATTACAACTCTGAGAAATATCCAGATGTAACAGCAGCAATGGACAAAGAGGATGGACTGGCAGTTCTGGCTGTTCTCCTCGAGGTAGGATCCTTTGGGGGTTTGTTGTTGTTTAGAATATGCTTTCAATCATTAAGTCATCAAGGTACAAGATTATCCAGATCATTTAACAATACAGTGGCTGAATAAAGGTTTTTCCTTTCCCCTCTCACCCATAAAAAGTCAGATTCCAGCAGCACATACCAAAACAGGAACACACTCTGAGAAAAGAGGAATTCTAAATATTGTCTCATGGTTTTCAGTAAATTAACTTCAGCTATGTTAAATCCATTTTTGCATTCGTTTACAAACTGATGATTGGTAGGGTTTATCAAACAGGAGGCAACAGTGAATTCCCAGCTCACTTCCTCAGAACTGCTGGAGCCTGGGGCAGTTTTGACCCAGCAGAGGCACAGGCAGGCACAGCCCTGCCTTTGACCACCACATGTAATTGGGATTTAACGACAGTCTTCATGCTGCTCTCTTCCCAGATTCTTTGAATCACAGTTTACAGTAAAGAAGTAAATTCAGTGACCTTTTTAACAGGATAGAAGGAAAACTTTCCAATTTTCCTCTCTAAAGCCCACATACAAAGATAATAATGATCATAAACAGGTTTTATTTTAGCACCTTGTGTGTATATGTCTCCCTTTTCTTGAGGATTAAAACTCCTCAATGAGATAACTGTAATTTTTAAATGTGAGGATTTTCTGCAGCATAGAAAACCAAACCTCCAGGCTTTCACATTTCCATCAAAAAAGTGAAAATGTTCTAGTTAGCAGACAAAGCTCTCATTAATGCAATCCCAGCTCACTTCCTAGCAGCTCTAAGATTTTGACAGTAATTTTGTGTTACATTTCAGTTAATTTGGAAGTTGCAGCTGTGAAAAGTTTCAGAGTATTGTATATTTTGCTAGGGAATAATACTGGTATCTGGTTATTTCCAAGCAATGATATTTAAAAATCAAATTAGGGAACAATGGAGATTAGATCTTTGAAAAACTTTCAGCCAGCTGGTGGCTATTGCAGTTGATCTAAGGACACCAGTTTACTATGTCTGGTTGTCAGAGGAGTTGCTAAGCACCAACCCTGAAGAATTCATGAAAAAAGACACTGATTATCAGACAGAAAAGCTGCTGTTAGCAGTTGAAAAAGATGGTCTTTGTTGATAGTTGAGTTATAGCCCTTGCCAGTGGTACCCAATGGTGTCATTCTTTATCTTCCTGGACTGAGAGGAGCAGCAGACTGAAAAATGCTCGTGGGTGGAAAACTGTGGCTTTGATGAGAAAGCAGCAGATGATCTGAGAAGCCTGTCAGTTGAGAACTTATGCCTGCAAGGTTCTCAGAGGAAATGGTTTCTCTCCTTTTGCTCAGCACTTTGAACAGGCAAGAGCAACAGGGGCTTTCAAGGGCACACCAAAGTCTACACTGCTGTTAAGGCAGCATCCTGACAAGGCAGCTCTGACAGCTCTCAGTGGGAGCATAACTGTGCTCTGAGGACAGTGTTAGAGTTTTGAGTTATAAAATCCCTTATGCCACTCTGGTACATGAATCTCTGGACAGTGGGGACACTTGCCTTGTGACAGGCCATCCAGTACAGCCAGAGGAGCACAGACTCACACCCAGACTGCAGTGGGCTGCACAGCTGTTTAACAGTGTGATCCTTTCAGATCGGACCCTTCAACCCCTCCTATGAAAAGATCTTCAGGCACTTCCGGAACGTGAAGTACAAGGGTGAGTGGCTGCACCACACTGAGAATGGCTGAGGGTATCAGATGCCACCCTGAGGGGGATTGAACTGGCTGAAGAAACAGCCCAGAGATCTCAGACAAACCTGTCACAAACTGGGAGACCTCCAAATGCAGTGCATTTCTGGAGGAGTGTATGGCTGCCAAGCACCACGTGTTCCTGGCTGGGCCTTATTTCTTGCACATGGTGGCTTTTAGTTAATCTGGCCTTCAGTTTATCTTACAGGATTCGTATTTGATATCTAAGGCAAGATTTGTACATAGAAACCCTAAAAAGCTGTGTTCCTTATTAAACTGGGACTATCTCTGCTAAAAGGTATTTTTCCTATCCTAGTGATAGGACACCGAAAACATCTACTTACTGAAAAGCAAATTCACTTCACTGGTGCACTGCATGTATAGGAATGATGCAGGATTTCACATGAATCCCCTTTTTAGATCAGAAGGTCCAAGTGCCTGGTTTCAACGTTCGAGAACTGCTCCCTGCCAGGCTGGATGAGTTTTATCGCTATGAAGGATCCCTGACAACTCCTCCCTGCTACCCCAGCGTTCTCTGGACAGTTTTCAGACACCCCGTTACAATTTCACAGGAGCAGGCAAGTTTCAATAGAGCACATGTTTCCCTGGTTGGGGTCAGAACAGTAAAAGCATATTCTCATTTCCTGGATTGCTCTTATCTTCCTGTAAAACTGAAAGAGAGCCACTGCTAAAAGCCTTCAAGTGGGAAGAACAGCGCAGAAGTGACATAAATCAATACCTTGTTCTGTTTGGAGTTAGCATGTTTTCAGTTGACCAGAATAAATAAATGACAGACAACAGCATAGCCATTGGTACAGTATCAGCTTGAAAACATCACAGTCAAGTGAGATTAATTTCTGTTTTCACTGTGTCCTTATTCCCTGCGTAAAGACTTTCCATGAGTTACTTGCAGATTACTTTGTTCACACTCCATGTCTAAATACTACTCACTAAGCATTTTAGTGCTACTGCAATCCTGATTAGGTATGACAGGTTGGGTAGATGTTAAGTTTCTAAAAAGCATGTGATGTGTTATTTGTCAATCTTGAATCCCTAGTGTTTCTCCCAACTGATATTTTTTGTGCTCATCTAATTAACTTCTTTTGTTCTTAGGTGGCCACTTACACAAACTATAATAAACTCACAATCACTGTCTTCTGATTCACCTAATTATAGACACAGGGGAAAATGTTATTATCAAAGTCTCTGCATGCTCCTCGTTATGAAAATCCATTCTTACCTTTGTCCACTCTGTCAGATCGTGTCTTTAGCAGAGTAAAGAGTTCTTTCATAAAGTAGCTTTTAATACTGCTTAGGAGTTAGACTGTGCTAGGGGGAACATGCTGGAAAAGGCCACCATGTTTCCTCCCCTCCAGTTTTCCTGGCAGATAATCACTAAGCAGGATTAGTGTTATCAGGATGTAAACAAAACACAGGTACACATTTGGAGATGCCTCACTCTTTACAGTGTTCTGTATTTGGGCTCACAGGCCCCATAAGACCTAAGTATCACTTAATTATCCCCTTCCCTTTGATTTCAAACACACTCCCAGTGATCACACCCTGGCACTGCTTTCTCTGGATCCTGGGAGCTGAACAGGGTGCTTCCCTTTCTAGCTCCTGGCCCTGGAAACAGCCATGTACTGCACGGAGAGTGACGACCCAGAGCCCCTGGAAATGGTGGATAACTTCAGGAACGTTCAGGAATTTCACGAGAGACTGGTTTTCATCTCCTTCCGTGAAGGTAAGTTGTGTGAATGCTTCTGTGCAAAGGAACAGTGTCCAGTCCTTTGGGGACACTTGAAATACTGAGGTGGCAGTGCTGTTGCACCTGTACCACTGCAGAAATACAGCAATCTCATTTTCCAGCAGATCCCTTTGTTCCCTTTTCTTCTCTTACTGCACTGTTGCATGGGCAGCTGTACAAGAATAAGGTACTCACAGAGTACATAAGAATTGTTTTTTCCACAGGGGGTGTCAGGCAAGACCTGCAACCCTTCTGATCAAAGGCAAGGAGGTAAAAGAAGAAAAACACATTTGGCCTTCTGATGCTTAGCAGAAGTATTTGCTGTCACTGCAAACACTGAACACCTTAAGCTGGCCTTGCCTCACCAGTGATGTTTGCTGGTTCTCAGCAGTGTCAGGCTTGGTTTTAAGCAGACCACACACTTAAAGGGAATCACAACTCTGCCTTTCAGGGACACTGTTTTGGGGAAATCACACAGAATCAGAGGAGGTCCTTGAGGAGTTCAAACTTGACAAATAAAAATAATTCATAACACTGGATTGTGTGATCCAGTGTTACAAATAAAAAAAAAAAAGGTCATCTTATGAGGAAAAACTGATTTAAAAGCTTAATTATGCAGGGTTACACAATGGCAATGCATAGGTTTGGTGGGGAGTTTGCACAAAAGTCTGCATCTGTGGTGAGGAGCTGAGCTGTGCCCACAGGAAGGCATTGGAGCATATTGTTTGTGCAAAATGTATTGTTCCAAATTCTTTGGAAACAAATACCCTCAGGTGTCTGTGAAGGTGGCACATACACTGAGGGCAGAGGAGTCTAGGCAAGCCCCTCTACTGTTTGAAATGGAGACTAAAAGATTTCTAAAAGAAAAAGGAGACAGCACAAAAAAGATTGGCCAAGCAGTAAACTTTCAAATTAATAAAATGTGTTAGGACATCATTTCACCTTCGCCTGCCAGTTTCTGCACCGTTTAGATGAAAGAACAGAAAGCACAGGAGTTGTGTATATTCAGAAATGTCACACAGCAGGCACTGCAGGGACAGTTCCCTGCAGACACACTGCAGTAACTGTTCTTGCCATTCCCCCCTGCAGACAGACCATTTCATAACAGATCTCTCCTGATGTAAAGCTATAAAGAAGAGTGAAAATCAGAGATCAGCCAAAAAAACCACCCCTGCAAAACATTTCTCTGCAATCAGCGATGCTTTAGCCTTGTCACCCAGAGGTGGCTGATCTCCTGTCAGTTCAGCTGCACCAAACTCCCAGCCAGAGCAGTGTGGGGCATCAGCAGCGTTTGGCCCTTACTTGAAGCAAATCTCCATCTTTGAGATAAAACCCAGAGACAATTTCACAAGTCCTCCTGTGGCTGGGGACCATTTCAGTTCTCACAGCAACATTTTAAAATCTTTCTAAAGCTTCCTGTGAGAGGAACTACCATGAAGTTTCTTTTGAGTGCCTTCTCTGGAATTAATGCACATAATTAGTAATTATTTAAATTTATCAAAATTTATCAATTTATCAAAATTTATCAAAATTCAGTACCTGGTGGACTTGGCAGGGATATGTTGTTGATTCCTAACCACACCCAAGAGCTAGTGATTTTCTGAGTCAGACTGGTCAGTCAGAAATGAGAAATGCACTTATCCATCTGTTCTTTAAGTTCACTTTTCAGCATTGACTTACATTCTTTCTGTAAATCACAGTACTTAAAAGTAGAAGGTAGAGAGTTACAATCCATGATTCCAGTAACTGAAAATCAGACACTGCATTTTCATCCAGGAATCTCCAAACACTTCACAGAAATAGCATAAGCATTATTTCCATCCGTGGGGGGAAATCTGACCCAGATGTGACTTTCTCAAAATTGTTGCTGTGAACCAGTGCCAAACCCAATAATAACATTTGGCTCCCCCTCTGCTAAGCCACATTATTTGGCTCCCATGCAGAGGTGACACCAGCTACAGAAACATTTTCAATGTCTCTTTAAAGCTGGCATGACTTAGCAGAGTTAAATGGTGTGGCTTATTGCCCATCCTGCTGTTCTTACCCAAGAACTGGTCTTTATGGCTATGAAAGAGGCTGCTCAGTGCTCCTTGAATAGAAACTCCATTCAGACCAACAACATTTAATTACAGAAGCTCATTGACTCTATCAGTGAACCATAGAAAAAATGTTCAACCCATTTCAGAAAAGGTATTCATGGCCCCTGTAATCTCACATTCCTCTCACCACAGTCACAAAGGCTCCCTCACAGGTGCAGCCCCTCACCTAAAGGGCAAAAAAGGAAAGACAAAGAAAAAGAAGAAAAAAAACGTTGCCATCAAAGCACAGTTCAGTCCAGCTGGTTGGGGGCTGGAAGTGCCCAGCCTGATGCAGCTGAACCACGGGTAGGGACAGAGCACACCTGAGGAGAAGGGAAGGAAAAGCCATAAAGGGATCATGGCTTGGGCCAGGCAACCCCAGAAATTTGTGAAAGAAATCCCATTGAGCACACCTAGAGCCCAACTAAGCAGGTGTTCAGAGCAGCTTTTCTGCCCTTTCAGTGCCAAGGCTGCCACCTCCACCTGAGCACAGAGGCCACAAGACGAGGCCACTGGCCTGTGTTTGGCATCAAAATTGCAAATGACTGAAGTCTTCAGTCATCCACATTTTTGATGCCAATAATTAATATCTAAATTCATGCTCACTCTTAACAAGAATACATTTCAAAAGGTCTCTAATCTTGAAGGATTATGCAGCAAAACTCACATATGTTCATAATGTATTCTGGCTGTCAGCAATCTATTCCAATGAAATCAGCTTCACATTCAGCTGGAATTTGTTATGATGTTCAGACCTTCCACTGCCCATGAGCTCAGTGGGAACTGGTGTCTAGTTTTGGTTCTGGTACCATACTGGAATTCTATCCAAGCAAATTTTGTAAGAAGATTGTCTCATCAGACAGAAATGCTCCCTAACCTTCCTCTTCAAAGTACAAGCTCTTTTTTCTACAGTTATCTATTTGGTGTTGTATTTTCTTGTCCATTTGATGCACCTTTACTATAACAAAACTCCCTTTTTGTAAAATAGCTCTCCTTCAACTCCATGTCAGCTTGAAAGAGTTCTGATGTTGCTTAGAGAGAAATAGTCGTTGGATAAAATGTAAAAAACAATGAATTAAGAAAATACAGTTAAGAGAGCTCACCTTCAGGATCTTTGGGGAGGCCAAAATAAATAAAAATACTTTATTGCCAAAATACGTATATGAAGGTCACTAGCAAATATAGAATTATAATTATAACGCTTAACATCTCTATGCAAACAAGGGAACACTCAGATCTTCATACCACTATCCTGAATTCATTCTTACCTTCTTCAGTGCCTTTAAGTAATATTCTCAACAGCAAAGCAGATCACTTTTCAGCTCTCCACACTCAGGGGTGTTCTGCCTTGAAAAAACAAAAGGCTTTGAATTTAACAGCCTAACTTGCCTGGGTTTACTTCTTTAGTTCTGCTTATGATCTCTTATACATTATAGCAAAAAAATCAAGATTTTCTGACCTCTCTGCCTGTGCATGTTGGGGCTGTGACTCCAGTGTGTGTCTGAGTTCCCAGCACGGTGAGCTGTGGATGCAGCTGTGGGAGCAGGACCTTCCAGGGCACATCTGTGCAAAGTTATCCACTCCATAATCACAAAACAGGCTGCAGGAAAGCTGCAGAATGCAAATGTTATGACACCTTAGGCACTAACCTTCTCCTCTCAAGTCAAGGATATTGACAGTTCTGGATGCTTTCCCTCCCTTGCTAGGTTTTGTGGTTTCTGCTGTGATAGCCTGCATCCTGGCAGTCCTCACCATCCTTGCAGTAGCCTTGTGGCTCCTGAAGAAGAGAAGGTAAGATGTCTGCCTGTCACATCCCAAAAAAAGAAGCCAAACCAAATTTTTCCTCTGACACAAAGTGAGTCTAAGTAATGTCTGATCTTTTATAAGACATGATCTCTTCCTACAAACTTTGATTTGTTTTTGTCACTGTAGACATTATTTCCCCTGTATCATACACTCCAAAGCAATTCTGTTTTATTGCCAGCAAAATATGTTTATTTGGCTGAAAGGTCTCTCCGTGCTGCAACCTCTGTGCCAGAGTGGCCACCGTTCTGCCATTGTAGGAGTGGTTGGGTTTTGTGAAAAGCAAACATATACAGTTGTTTTTCCACAAAATAATAATTGCTGGAGCAGAGCTCAAGTAAACCCTTAAAAGATGCAAGGCCAGGAAATAGAGAATTGTGTGTGAGAATCAGGGAGGACACAAACCCCGGAATATTTCCTAGAACAGTGAGGGAAACGAAGAGAATGGAATTTTAGAAAAACCTCTCCCAAAGTTTACATCATTTTAGGGGAAGAAATATGTATTGTTAAAAGATCATTTAGCCACTGTTTGCCAACAAAACCAAATCCTGGGAAAAAAAATCTAAGATTACAAACTTTCCTACAACCTGATCCCTTTGCATCCTGCATTGACTCCACACACAGAATGTGTTCTCCTGAAATGTTTGCAACAACAAGCTACGGTGACATTTGCACCGGTACAGAGAAAAATAATCTCATGCATAATGGACCATCTTAAGTAACTAATGGTGCTTTTCCTTCACTGACATTACAGTTCTTTAATACATTTGTTTTATTTTAGCTGCAAAAAGGAAGGGCAAGACAACAGAGGAGTCATCTACAAACCAGGCATGTACAAGGAGGAAGAAGATCTCTCCAAAATGTGATGCCCTGCTCTGCCCCTTTTCATTCACAGCACTGATTTACTTTGGATTGGTGGTCTCTTGTTCTTGGCTAATGATAAGCCTCAGGAGAGTACTAAAACCAGGTACCAGCCAAAAGTCTTGTGTAGCCCTCATTCCCTTGTTTTCCAGGGAGATATGATCAGCGAATACCCCTGAGCTGAATTCCTCACCACATTCCTTTCATGTCTGCTGCTCACTGAGTCTGGGTGTTTTAATTGATTTTACAGTTAATCCTAAACTCCAGTTTTATGGTTTGTTTAGCACAGGTTGTCCCACAGGTGTTCCAATCTGAACACTCTCATCAAGCTACAAGAACTCTTCCCTGCTAAATCAGGGTATTGGTTTCAGCATCGTGAATATAAACAAGATAAAGGGCAAACTGTATTTGAGATAAGAGTGTGAACTGGGTTGTTCAGCTGATACAGTTTTTAGAAGCACAGCAAATGATGCAAGAACATTCACCAGTGGAGCTGGAAAGGAGGAAGAGGGAAGTGTAAATGCAGTGGGAGCCACAAGGATTATTAATGGAGTTCAAACCCAGGAACTCAGTGCTGAAAAAACACTACTGCTAGAGGAACAGCTCCCCTTCCAGACATCACCCAGCCTCACAAATCTGCTGTGGAGGCCAGCCCTGACTGTCACTGAAATGAGAGAAGCATCATGTCTTATTGTCCTGCTCTTATTTATAGTGTGTGTATGAATGATGTGGAGATGCAGTTGCTGCTGCTTTTAAGCAGACTTGTCATTTAATCATAAATCCTGATTGATTTTACAGTTTATATTACAGCTGCAATTAAACAGTAGATGGTTTTGCTGATTTAGTTCTCTGACTTCAGTAATTTAGTTCCTAGAGAATAATCTAAATTATCTTTTCAGACCTTATAAGCTAGATACTTGAGTCTCAGTATACATTTCTGAAGGTGAGAAGCATAAACCTGACCCTGTTTCCACTGAAGACAATGTGGAATGTCATTGACTTCAGGAAGAAAAGGGTGGAGCCAGCCCAGCCCCAGTGCATACAGAATTCCTCTGGAACTGGACATTTAAAGTGAGCATCTGAAATGCTTGTACTTAACACACACAGAGGAAGTGACAGAGCACAGGCTTATTCCTAAAATAACTGCAGGTCTGAAGGCTGCTGAACACCACAATCTGAACTTCTCCCTTAGAGCCATCTTACATTCAGTAGCAGCACCACCACAGTTGTGATTTTAAATAAATAAACTCTTATAATGTGTGTTTTCTCCTTTAAAAAAGGCAGATGCAGACAGTTTCAGCATAGAATGTTTTAGATTCTTCCCCTTCCATCCCCAAGAAAACTGTTTACTGTCCAAACCAAGCTTTTGAGTGCCACGAGAAATAACTTATTACTGACTGTACATGAAATTTAGGAGCGCAATCTTACAGCTAAGCACATTGCATATTCCAGCATTTTTATCTCACATAAACAAACACATAAAGGTCATCTTGTTGAAGTGTTTGAAATTATTTAAAGAGCAGCAGTTGTGTGCTATGGGGAGCGTTACTTACTGTTTGAATAAAGGTGTTTAAAGACAAGATCAGATAATAAATTTTTATGCTTTTTCTTTGGTTTCTCTTGTTTCTTCTTGAAGAGTAACATTTTATGGTGTATTTTAATCTGCAGCTCACCTGATTAAAAACATCCATCAATCACTCTCTTTCGCAGGCAACGTCCTCAACACCTGTAAAAAGAAGCACCAAAACCTCAGCCAAGGCAAATTCTCAGAGTCAGCAAACACACCACACACTAGGGGGTAAATGTCTCATTCAGAATTGTTTCTTGAGCAAAAGAACAAACTTAAGCAACAGAAGAGGGATTCACACAAATCATATTCCTGCTACTCCCACTTATAACACCCTCTAACTGCGTGGAGTCCTTGGAAAATGCAAACACAGGAGAAGTGTTATTTTTCTTTAATATTGTGTTACCAGTTGGCACTGCCAGTGGTCCCTCAGCTGAAAGAATCCAAACCCATGTGTTCTCTGGGCTCTGTAGTTACTGTCATTTAATAATCCTATTGAAATATCACATTTTTTAATAGTTTCCAGGAGATTCCTTGTGTCATTCTTACATACACAATATTTGAGATGTCGGGAAAAAATCAGGCATGATCAGAAAGACAGATGTAGTTACCATAATAAACCAAGTTACAAAAATCTCAATTCACTTCTTTTTAAATGGAATGACCCATTTCTGAGCCTCCAAGAGCAGAAATGAAGAATAAATAACTTAAGCCAGCGAAGTGAAGGAGTTAGATGGCACAAGGGGTGTTCAGCTCTCCTTCCATCCCTTCCTAAGGCTGCTCTGCTAAAAGGTGTGTGCAGTGGGATCATGAGAAATACCTCATTTTTGCATTTTCTCCACTGTGAACAGTGTAGGGGTACAACACACCTTGGACAACTAAACGTGTTTCAAAACTTGCCGAGGGAGCCCTGAGCCACAAAAAGTTCCACACATATCATCTCTGATGTACAACAAACCCCAAAGGATTCTTTTAATGTGTACACCTAAAAGTTATTGCCCATCAAAAGCAAATTTTAACTTCTGACAAAGCATATTAAAAATAGAAGTGTTGGGGGACAAAAAAAAGTCTTCTTGACTTCAGCTAAAATGGTGGAAAGAAAACAGAGTAGTTTTGCTATGGCAAAGCTTAATGTGTTGAAGTAAAATGTTATTTTCATTAATTCTACAGCAAGATCAATACACTAATTCTCATCTAAGTTTAAGGCCTAGTCCTCCATTTTAAACCTGTTACCCTTAATTCAGCATATAAATTTAATATTGAATCATTTGTCTTCCTGTTGCAGAAAGCTCTAAGTGAACAATTAAGGTGCCCAGATGTGTGGTACCCGTGGGGAGGTTTGAACTGTGCATTTCAAACTGCTGCCTGACAAAAGCCAAGTTATAAAGTACATAAATACTGATTTTTTTTTTCCCCCTCCCCTAAATGCAAGAAGGCATCAGTTGCTCTAAGTGTGGAGGGGCTTTATAATCTGCCCCATTTTTCACTTCCCCTACTGTCAAGACCTTAAGGAAACAAAACTGGTGAACTCACAAGACTTGATGCCATCAAGTGGCTCAGAAAATCAGCACCACCACCAACCACTGCTTTTTTATTATCTGCAAGTAGTCAGAACTTCTACAAGAAAACTGTAAATAGTTATTCTTACACAAGGAGCATATTTTGAAAAATCAGCTTATGACTTCATTGTGGTGTGGGCATTTTTAAACACCAATACAGCTTGGACATAAAAATTCAAAAGGACACTGGAAGGGTTTTATTATTATTTTGCAAGGAATATTTAAATCTTATTAACACTTTCACTTTATTTTATTTTCCTTGATTTTTCGTTCTACTTAAAAGAAGACATTTTCCTTCATCACTAGAAAACATAGACTGGAGCTTAACCTCCCACACACGTCCTTAAAAAAAGGCAATATTTATATGTTCTACACTCCAAAAATGTCACATAATCAGGAATATTACAGAAAAGTAAAATCTGACACCTTATTTCAGTTTTGGCTGCATATTCAACAGGAAATGTTCACAGAGAGACTTCAAATTCCCTGTATTTTAATTAGAACATCATTTCTCACTGAGAAAAGTCTGATGGCCAGCAAGTCAAACCCAATACTGGGATCTCTCAAAATGAGTAATTTTATTAATTATAAACATTCCAGTAAATGTTAAATTCTACTTTGCCATTCTCACAAAAAAAGTGTCAAAGCCATTTTGCAAAAAATGGTTTTGGAAGCCTATTTCTGAGCAGCTGAACAGAAAATGAAGTGGTTAAACTTGGAAATAATGCCCATCACTCGTACCTAACTCTTAATCAGAACTCGAGCTGGGACAATACACCCGACTATGCAGCTCTTTCGTGTGAAATTAGGAAAGAACAGTTCCAAGACCAACTTTTAACACGTTACCTGGAACTGCACGAAGTTTCTGTGGTATCCCAGGACACAAAGGAGCCACTGTTGACTCTCTTCAGTTCTGAGCACACAGAAATGCAGAGCAACTGCCAGTGCATGGGAACCACTTTGCCTCAGCTGAAGGAATGTGTGCCTCATAATTCACATCAGCTGCAGGGACTCACCAACAATCCTACGTTTAAAATACGTGCTTGTATCAAGTCAGGTCCCCTTGTCATGTCGGTAAAACATGTAAATGAATATAAAACTAAAAGTTGGTGACAATTTAAAAGAACAGAACTTTAAATATTTGCACATTAGTTTTATTTGATCAAAACATCTATATTGCACAGCCTCGGGGGAAAAAAAGTGATAGTTTCAAAAAAAGGACTCCTAAGCCCAATTGTTTTATTTTAAAAACATCGCTAATAATTGTTACCAAAAAATAATACGTAAGACAGTTTTCCGACTCCACAGAAGTGAAATGGCACCATCTAGTGACTTATACATGAGAAAGCCAAGTCAGGAAAGTTGTCACTTCTTTGACTTCCTCCCAACACTATAGAGTGAAGTTTGGAAACAATAGCAAGAGGAAATGTAAAAATAAACATGAATGCTGGAACACTTACTATGGAACAAGGACTTGAAAGTCAAGTGTTATGCTCAGGGATTATTTTTGTACCAAACCATTTACCTATTGTCTTTGGTAAATTAAAATATTTCTGGAGGCACATGCAATATGAATATAATAGTCCCATTCTACTGGCCCAAATGTCTTCCCAGGAAAGCCAAACGCTTTTTAAGCAATGGCAACAATGGCTTATGAAGGAGTTAATGATAACACACACAGCTGTCAAAATTTATGAATAAAAATTGAGTCACTTCGGATGCACCTCATTCTCCAGGGATAAAATCAAGGCAGCATCTCCTTCAATTAATAATCACACACCGTATTTGCACAGGCACCATGATCCTGCAAGTTCCCTGATTCACTTTTCCAGCAGATTGCCCGAAATCTGCCAGCACAGACCATTTCTAAGCTGTTTTTACAGCACTGAACTTTAGCTGCTTCTGGACAGATTGCATATGTTTTATAAAATCCTCTAGGAATTCACCCACTAGAAAAATACAGACAAAAGCAACATGTTTGCTATGCTTTATATTTTTTCCTTTGTGATTTTCTTAAGGGAATATATTGAAAAAACCCCTTAGTAATCCTTCTCTCAACATGAAGTCATGTGCCCTCTGCAGGACTGTCGAGGAGGGCTTTTCCTTTCAGAATTGCTACACAAAAATGGAAAGAGTAAAGGAAGTTGTGCAGACGTTTTTCACCAGTTTCCTCTTTCGTTCTTTGCTTTCTGTGTGTATTTAACAAATACAAAGAACAGTTTCTTGCTTTGCTAGAAAAGCTAGGTCTCTAGGAAACCCCACCACTCTACATTTTAAGGGTGTCTCACCCTAAAAAGGGGGACATGTTGACATTACATCATCACGCTGAGAGACTGAAAACACTTTGTGAACACCGTGACAGTGATCTGTAGCTTTGCTGGCTCCTCACTTATTTATAGCTCCACGGCAGGGCAAAACCAGTACCCATTCCTAAGCAAACCAAGATAAATAAGGTTAACTGCTCATTGTAGCAGGGTCACAAGCCACCAAGAAAAGCAGCAGCCAGGAGAGCTGGCATTGCTCCGTGCTGCTGCAACCTTCAGCAGGGACAAGGAAAAAACCTCATCAGGAAAATCCCAGAAGAGCAAGCTGCTACCAGCTCCTACAGGTATGGACCAGATTCCAAGAACATACGGATAAAATCCTTTCTGGATATTTCTAGGACGGGCACTGGGTCAAACAATTGCATCTACTAACTTGAACAAATGCAGCTGGCCCAGATCAAATGGTCTCTCTCTTTCTATGAATGATTTCACCACACAGATACCTGGTTTACCTTCAGCAGAGCACAGAAAGATGTATTGGAACAGACTGCCCTTCCTCTTTCAAAACTGATTTCAGCCCAAGCTGAAATTTCTTCCTGCAAGAAAGGTTTTCAGTTGACACAGTAGAAATGGGACTCCTGTAACCAGTCTTTGGAGAACACTTTCACTTTTTACACAAACCTGTACAATTTTCAAAATGTGGGTTTTTTTTAAAAACTTCACTTGCAAATACAAGGGATATAATTAATAAAAATTGTCATTTGTTCCAGCAATCACAGATAAAAATGCAGTGGAAGTCCACAAACTCCCATTTGAAATTACGACTTTTCCAATCTCAGCTACAGATACGGTCATGGGAGTGAAACAGCAAATACTTCTGCTAATAAAAATCAGTAAAACAAACAAAAGACATGTATCTTCCCATTCTAAAATTTTCTATGGATACCCTGAAGAAAAAGGCATGCAAGTAATCCAAAGAGAAAACATGAACAAATATGCCAATGTAGAAGTAGCTGTAATTTGTCTTAAATTGGTTGCACTAAACTTTTGAAACACAAATATTCAACTTACTGAGTCACACAATTAAAGAGAGATAAACTAAACTGCTCCCTACAATTAAAAGGGTAAAAGATCATTTCTTCTACTTAAAGCCTAATAATAAGGGACTTCACTAATATTTCAGGTTCAGG